ATATCATACAGTATGTATGTATACATTGTGTCGTCATATACAGTTACCTGTTGGTAGGTTGTAGGGATTGTCCAGATGAACACACATCTGAAAAGAGAGAGACAATGGTATGCTAAACAGTCAATATTAACTAGTAAATAATTTCAAACCAAAATTAAAACCTGAAATATTCTTTTGTGGTAAATGTAATTGACTCAAATGCTCTGTTTACCAGAACTATAAATGTTTTGTTGTAATGATAACTACTGGTTCATTACTACTTACCCATCACCAGACACTGTGATTAACTTTTTCAAGTCATTGGTGAAACGCATTCCTGTTACAATCTCTGAAACATAATGAAATATAATAATAAATGGCTTCAACAGCTGACAATCAATTAATTAATCAATCAATCAGCTGTCAATCAACCTATCCATAAGCTGTCAGTCAATCAAAATGTATTTACATATTAAAATTCAGTATCATACCTGAATGTCCATACATAGTAGCCATACATTCGCCTGACTCAAATTCATAAAGTGAAAGAGATTTATCTGAACTACTAGTAGCAGCAAAGTATCCTGAATTGTCCATGGTGATCTACAACAYAAGATTGTTTGAATGGAATTGTCCATAGAGAAAGCAAAGACAAGTTACTGTACCTTGACCAGAGTACCATCATCACTTTGTGACCCTTTATAACACTTGGTCTGTTTTCCAGTAAGACTGTCATAAACTCTACAAGAGATGATAGTATGTGATTTCACATAATATGATGTGAAAATGATCAAACCTCATTACATGAGGACAAGATAAAATGATCAAAGTTTTCCTTGCAGCAGACCAAATTAATATTCATTCCATAGATGAACTAGTGACATCAATTGTCTCAACTCACCTTATATTTCTATCTTGACAAGCAACTGCAGCAACACCCCTACAAACACAATCATTCAAAACCTTTAAGGTGGATTTAGGTACATGATCTGATTGGCAGCAGATATCACTCAAACTTGATTGTTCAAAAGTTAAGAATGTTATAGAATTTCAGCCAATCAAATGTCAAGTTTATCAATGGCCGTCCATACAAACGCCAACTACTAGTGGTAAAAATCAATTTGATCCAGTTGCTTTCTTACCTGGACAAATCCACCACCATATCGTACAAGGTTGTTTTGCCAACATAGTTAGTATTCCTTACAAACTGAAGGTCAGGATTCTGAACAAGAGATTAAATTCATTAGTTTCAACTATACAAAAAGGATTAGGGTTCACTCAATATTAGCTATTCAGACAGTGGATTAAATCAATTGGTTCCTATTGTTCCCTTGAGTTTATAAACTAATTAACAATTCAGAGGCGGTTTTCCATTGTCTGTACTCTTATTGACAATGAAATTGACGTCAAAATGCTCAAAACTCAAGTGGAACCACGAGCGTAAGCGAGAGCAACATTATAGTTTATATTGAAAGGTATGAAAAATAAACACTCTTATGATCCATTATCACAAATTATTGAAGGCTGATTTACATTATACGACCTGTTGCATGCGACTTGACCTACACCTGTCATCCCTACAACAGGATTTTGAGGATTTTGTAGGATTTTGAGTTCAAATTCTTGAGAAAAATTGTAACCAGTACCCATCTAGTACACATTATGTCAAGTTGCAGCAGACAAGTCACATGCTAGAAAATGAAGCAACCTACATTTTGTGCACTTCTAAATATGACCGACTTGTCAGCGCTGCAGCTTAGTAGTAACAGGGAACCACCCTCATCAACTGCAATAAAACAGATTATACTCATTGTAAAATATCATAATTATCAGTTATTCAAGTCTAATGAATCGATTATCAATTGGAGGCTATTTGTATATCATTTGCTGTACTGACCACTGAATTTGATAGACGTTATYGATGCTGAATGGTCATCTAGTGTCTGAATAAGAGTAAAGTTCTTATTGACATCAAATACATGCAGCAAGCGATCACGACCAGCTGAT